CCTCGCGTTGTGAGGGCCCCGGTTGCTGCGGGGAGCGGGGGCGCTGGGCACGGAGCGCCTTCTCCGTAACTCTGGCCCGGCCGCAAGAGCTAAAAATAGAGGCCCGGGTCGGGGCGGGCCGGGCACCTCACATCATACGGGAGGCACAACCGTGCTGAAAATTTAGGTTGCCTTTGCTTGTCACTGGGTATGGTACAAAGAAGGCTCGATTGATTACATTTTTAGCTCATTAACTAAAACCAGACCCGTGCTTCTCAAGTTTTAACTCTGTGCGACCCTTTCATAAAAAAGGTTGGAATCAGATGTTGGGAGGGGAGTTGACTGGCTGTTCACAGCAGTCAGACTACAAGTAGTTAAAAAATAACAGGCTTATTTCATCGCACAACATAGAAAACGAATATTGATTACTGGCCTGTGGTTTCACCTGTTAATGCAAGATAGTTTGTAATAAATACGTAGAAAGTATTGATATAATAGTTACTAAGTATTACTTGTTAGAGGCTTTTTGTATCCACTGATAAGAAGAATCGTAAATAAATTGGAAACGTTTTAATAACTTGCCTACTGAAATTGTAATTCTTAAGCTTATCAATACATTAAGTGCATTTGATATTAATGTGAGTAGTCAGTCCTGTGACTGTGTATTCAGTATGCTGTGTGTTCTTATGCAATTAACCTTGATGATAAAAGGGGAAGAAAAAGTAAGAAAATTGAAAATATACTGGAGAAAGGATAATCAATGGCATGTTGTTCAGTTTAAGCTCCATTTATTTGTAATAATTTAGGCTCTGCTATTGACTTTATTACTACTGTTGCAAACTTCTGACTTAAAAGGGTAAATGCTAAGCAAGAGCTATTCAAAGATGCTGTGTATCTCTGGGCCACCATGTACAAATTCACATTTCTTAACAAATGGCTGAACTGAGAGGATGTAGATTTGGAAGAAGAAACAGCAAAAGGATGTCCTAAGAGTCTGGAGTTAAAATGTGAACAAAAGATCTTTGAGTTTTGTCTATGAAGTTTAGAAGCAATCTTTTATCCCATCTCTCCACTCTGTAATGCTGGGCTTTAGCAATAAGCTGTGGCACTTACTCCAGTGCAAGCTTCTTGATGATAAAGGTTATAGTGTTTTAGTTGCTGATCCAACATTCAGCTCTAGCTATGAAAGAATCAAAGAAGATTTAAAAGCAGTTGGGATAAAGGGATACTGATTTTAGAAGCACGGAGTTACTACTGGTGGAATCTTCCGTAAGTATACGTGTTCCCTAAGGATGCTTTGGCTGACCTACATTTTGTTTTCCTGAGAGACATTCTGGTAAATACTGCACGGCTGAGCACACATTCATCAGTGAGTGGTTTAAAACAGACTTTCTTGCTGTTACAGTGGATTTTCATCAAACGCTACAGAACTTTCATCTCTTACTGTTCTGGTCGTTGTCTGTGTTTTAAAATTTGCTGTTTTCTACTGCCCAGTCCTGACCTGTCCAGAAAGTGAAGATTCAATGGGTTTTAACAAAAATAATTTTTCTGGGTTTTCTGTATGTTTGAGAAAGGGGGTGCTCTTAGGGAGTGATTTGCTGTAGCTTCCTATTGTAAAATACCATGTTTTTTGGATGTATAGAAATGACTGTTGTAAAAACACCTGCACTTGCAAATTGAAGCTTAGCTTCAATTAGACATGACATGGGCAGTGAAGGTCAAGCAAATAAAGGAGAGGAAGGAGTAACTGTCGGTCACTCACTGGTTCTGTATGAAATGTTCTCATCTTGATTCTAGTTAACTTTTCATGACCTTTTCTTCACCTGTCTTGCGTATGTGTTAAGATAAGCTTTTTAGGAATTGCTATGATGAGGATGGTAGAAGGTTTTAGGAGAGGCATTCCAAGTGCTGGCTTAGCACAGGTGTTTGGGAGAGGGGAGAAAAACACACATTGCACTGGAATCACAAATGCAAAAGGAGTTTGAGGGATGTACGCAAGGCTTCACCATACAGGCTTATAAAGCCTGAGATGGTTTTGGAGCCCATACAAGACTGGAATACAGAGTTGATCCTCCTGATTTATCAGGCTGGTATCTAGAACCTTAATTCCTCGTATGTATTCAATTTTTGAGTGTTTTTGTCTTGTAGTAAACATGGCTTCATGATCTATGCATTCACTCTTGGTCTGTTTGGAAGTTAAAACTCTTAAGTAGAAAGGGGAGTGAACAAGTTTGGTCTTATTCTGTGCATGGCAAGTTGGTCACTTGATCTTAAGGGAATAAAGAAAGAAGGAATGCTGTTTAAAGAAATGTTGTCAACCTAATGATCACTTCATAAATGGTTTAGACCAGTGATGGTCACAAGATCCAGTGTAACTTGCTCTCAAATTTTTCCGGTAATGAGCCTACTTGCTGTGCTTACCCAAGTAACAGAGGAGGAAGTAGAGCAGTAGCTTGGAAAATACGGGGTGTTGCTTATATATGGGTAACTTTGCTCCCCAGGTACTAACAACAATACTGTTTTTGGGAATCTCAAATCTTAAAACATATGAGGTGCCTGAATACAACCTTGTAACTACTGGCTGTAGTTGTGGTGGCAACACATCTCAGACTTGTAGACCCCCATTAAAATGGCTCAGGTGAAGAGTGGCTCTGTGAAACAGCTAAGCCAATCTAATAGCTCATTAGCGCTCCCCCAGCTTTCCTTGTTCCTCCTCATTGGCCACTTTGTGGAGTCGTTTGTCTCGCTAAACCATGAGAAAATTGACCTGTTGAGGAAGAAGTGATTAATTTTGTAGTTGAATTACCTTAATGGAGGAGCTGGCACAAGGAATGAGGAGAGCGGCACTGCTCCCTTTGGATGGGGTTATTTCTTAAGCTGATCTGTGCATCATCAAATGGTGCCTTAGTAGCAGGAGCTACTATGCCTGAAGATCATGTTTGTACATACCAAGGGAACAAGACCAGGGACCAAACTGACATGGGTAGTAATTGACAGCAAAACACTGCAATGCAATTGCTCAGTTTTTCCTGAGATTTAAATAGCAAAGCATCAAAGGGTATTCATATAATAATAATAATAATCGTGGTACTAGAGAAGGAGAAACATGAGGTAAAAGTCAAAACCTTACTTCCAGAGTCCTGCCTGAAGACCTGATATCAAAGACACAATGCTCATTAAAATGTCAGGTGATCGTCTTGGAGTTCATCTCTGAAGTGTTTTTTGGGAAAAAGGGACTAAGGATACTCAATTGCTTTGATGTCTTTTTTTAAGAATTTCCTATTCAGCCAGGACAATATATTCATACAGGAAAATCTCCTTACCTCTGCTCTACTGACAGTATCTACTAAAAATAGATATAGATGTATTCTGTGCAAGTACTTTTGGATATCTGTTCCATGTTTACAAGCAATTATAATATTTTTGCACTTGTCTTAGCAGTTTGGTTATATATTCAACACACTTGTCTGTCTTGTGCTCACAATAAGAAGTTCCTTTATTTTGTGGCTGTTCTTCATTTTCTCATATAGCCCATCAATAATCACTGTGTACTATCTCATGCCTTATCAATTTTGGGAGCTGATAACCTGTCCTTATAAGATCAGTGGCGGATTCACTGAACTCTTCACCTTTTAGAGCTGACTCAACACAATTACTATATCAATGTTCTGATACCTTCTGCAAACAATTTGTTAGGTACTTGGCTAAAGTTTTCTAGAAAGACACCTAAATGAAGTTTGTTAATAATTGATTTACATGCAAAAGAGGTTTGTCTGAA